CAGCTCGCCCAAGCCCCCGCAGAGCCACAGGCAGGCTTGGAGAGGGGTTTTTGGCCCCGGCTCTCATCCCACAGGCCAATGCGCCATCCCTCCACCGGCGGTGGGAGGTGTCCCAGCTCTGCCTGCAGAGTATGCACCCGACCCATATTTTTGGCTGGAGTATGCACTGCCCCAACATGCACAAGGAGAGGCGAGCAGGCGGGTTGCTGAGCTCTGCTGAGCTTACCTCGACGGGGGCGGTTTCCTTTGAGCCTGGAGCTCGGCACAGTGGTAAAAGCCCCAAAGAGCTGGAGAGGGGAAAGGACCTCTTTGTAACGGGTGGCACATGTGCCACCTGCCCTGCCAATCCCCAAGGGAGCGGGGATCAGGTCAGAGCATCCCCAAAGCCTCTGGGACTGCAGGAGCAGCTCAGGGGCTGCCCAGCAACAACCAGCCCGTAACGAGCAAGGTAGCTCCTGCTCTTGGAGCCACCTTTTGCTTCCACCAGCCCACCTTGGTGTCTCCCAGCTGAGCTCAGGCAATGGGCACGGGGTAGATGCCTCCCACTCCAGGGCTGCACCCCCCCCCCCCAGCCACAGCTACCCCTGTTCATCATGGCCAGCTGTGGCATGGATATTACTCAACATCTCCATCCTTCCGCCAGAAAATGAGACATGGGAGGAGGAGACTACTGGCTGGGAGCTCCTCAGTGTGGAGGTCACCTGCCCCCCCTCTTTCTGAGACTGGGTGTGATAGATGCACTCGACCCCTTAACCAGACTTGCAGTAGTTTGGTTCAAGCTCCAAAGGAGTAAAAGGCCTGAGCTGTAACCGAGCCAAGCGCTTCTCCAGTTCCCATCTGTTCTCTGGAAACGCACAAAGCAGCACGGGGACAGCGAGCATCGACGCGTATGGGCTTGGGACACCCATCACCATGGCGGGTGGCTTCTCCGCGACACGTTTATGAAGGAACAGAGAAGGCTGTGGGCGCAGGGAGTCTCACGTGCACTTGCCTCTCCTGTCCCATGGAATACGACCGCAAACCAACCCCTTTATTCCATAAGCGGGACGGCCGGAGAGACCCCCGGCCCCGAGAAGGGGCAGCCCCGGTGCC